GACGGGAACTGAAGCACACCATTGCTGCCAGATATAATAGGGCAGGTAACAGCAACTGGACAGAGGCAGTCCTTCAAGTATCTTGGCTCCATATCTTTATAGGCGACCACCAGTACATTTTAGTTCAACACAAACCCATTATGGTTGAATAAAGTGCACTGCTGAATAGTACAAAAACCTAACCATTCACAAGCAGTTTGAAACCAATCTGTTACAACTTTGCTACCTGCAGATCTTTGCTGACACCTGGGTTTTGTTGATTATTTGTAAATCTAGTGTTCCCACAGAATTTCATGAGCTCATTGATTCTTCCACTTTCTAGATGACCAACCAAGAATGGAAACGTTCCCCACATCCTGAGATGCCACCAGTCATAGAGGATGAGAAGAACGAGAAGCTCTGTACTCCTGGAAATTAATAAATTACTTCTGTCTCCCAGTGCCATGTGGAACAAAAGGAACTGATCTTTTAGAAAGAAAAGATGCACCTCCCTTTTTCCAGATATTTCCCCCCCCCCCCAGTTGTAGGAAACTTCCAACAACAGAACTGAAAGAAAAGCATTTGGGGGAAGGGACTGCAAGGAAGGAGAATACTTCTATTCCCCTCTTCCCGGACCCATCTACATTTAAAACTGAATTCGCTCCACCCTTGTGGTTCTTTTTTTCCCCTAGCCAATTAAATCTATGTTAACAATGAACTGTTACCGTTTCAACTAGCTTTTCTGGGGATTCCCTGAAGTATTTATTGCTTGCTAATAATGTATTTTCAGAATACTTCATTTGGCTAGTTCCTGGAATAATTTCAGACATATTCCTTCAATTCAGTCCCTGAAGTCATGGAAATTTACAACTGTGCCAAGGCAACATTCATACAGTGTATTCTCTCTAATTCAATTCAGATTGTTTTTGCACATGAAATATTGAAGCAAAAACATATACCCATCACACAACTTTCTTTTGGAATAAATAACATTGTGCAAAGTAAAGTAATGGAGTACAAAATAATAAGCAAAAGAAACTAAAAGTATGTAAATAGAAAAAAATACATTGCTGAATCTAATTATGTCAACATAGTTATTATACCTCTCCATACATTCTTTCTACCTACATTTGCCTATATTAACATTTATTCATCCACTTTTTCATCTAATAGGGTACACAGATTCCTTGTTTGTTTTAGGAGGTTTTTTTGCCACTTACGTATAACTCACAATCATTTACATCATTTTTCCTATTAAACATAATTACCTTAGTCTTTGATATATTATTTTTCAAAGCATTACTCTTTGGTAACATACAATCTAACATTTGCTGCAAAATACTGAAGTTCTAACCCTACAAGATGGTAGATATTTATAATACCTAAAAAAAAATTAATGCATTCACATTCCCAGCAGATATACGTATCTGAAATCTCACCACAGCCATTCCTTATGTATTTTCCATAAATATTTTAATTACCAAGGGGTGTTATGCAGCTACTCACTGCTCAGGACATTAAAAATTTGGTTTGGCCTCTTGGGTGCTTTACTTTCATCATATATTGCTCTTATCACATTCATCAATCACCTTCAACTCTGTATTTGGGTGCAACATTCCATAATTCAAGCCTATCACTTTATCAAACACTTTCTCTAAAAAAAAGGAGAATATTGTTCACATTTAAACACTTTTCAATGTCTTGCTGAAGATCAAAAAACCAGGTGTGCACATTCTCTGCAAAGCATAAAGTTGAACTATACTTTCCAAATTTTGCTCACTGATATCACTCATACCGTTTCAGTCAGAAGTGTGCCATACAACTTCCCATGCACACTCAACAAACTTATCCTCCTCTAATTTTTCCATTTGCAATTGTTATCTTACAAAGCAATCAGGTAATGTTACAGTGCAGTATTGCAGGCTAATTCTGCTGACTGCCAAGGGTTCGATCCTCACTGGTTCAAAGTTACTCAAAGTCACTACTTCTAAAAACAAACAACAAGACTGTTGTTTTACATAAACCTCTTAGAAGTGGCAGTCCTAAACTAGATCCTTGACTCACAAATGACCAACTACAAATTTCTCCATTACTCCCAGGATATGCCCAAATTACTCCGAGTGTAATTACCCACAATTTAAGAACACTGCAGTAAGCTACATTATGGTTTAATGTAATTATCTGGTTCACAAGCCATGCAATCAATAGATTCTTGCAACCTGCTGAACACAATTTATCCAACTCTATCCCCTCATCCTAAGCCTAATATAGCTTGTTGCATTCACTATACTAAAAAAATATAAACATTAGGCTTAATATATTGTCCAGGTTTGTATAATCATTAAGCTAAAATTAAGCTATTAAACTGTGTTATCTTTAGGGGATTAAAAGCAGTATTTTCAGACCATAGCCCTATGTTAGATCTCCTACAACAGGAAGTGGGTTAAACACATCTTTTCCTTCCTTCCTTCCTTCCTTCCTTCCTTCCTTCCTTCCTTCCTTCCTTCCTTCCTTCCGCTTTTCAGTGTCAAAGGTTCTAATCTAGGACATGAAGGAAATGAAAAGAGGCCCAGGTCTTAGAGGAAGGTTACTGAATAAAAACTGCTCTGAATATTCTGGAGTTAATAACAAAATGGACCTTGTTGTTTACAAAGCCCTTTGATTAGTTTTTGGGGAAAGTCACTAAAAATATTCATTTCAAAACAATTTTGCCATATCTAAACAAAAAGAAAGGATACTGGGAGGAAAAAAGCAGTGCCAAGTTAGACATGTCTGTGTAAATAATGATAACATATAAACTTTCATTTTGGTGGTGGATGGAAAATATTTTACCCTTAGAAGAAAGGAAAAAATAACTTTGAGTTATCTAAAGTTCTTCAGAAATTCTGAAGACTAAGCTCAATAGTTGAAGAATTCTGGGAGCTGAAGTCCACAAGTCTTAAATTTGCCAAGGTTGAGGACTCCTGGAATAATAGATTACAGGTAGTCCTTGACTTAAAACTATTCATTTAATGACCTTTTGAAGTTACAATGGCATTGAAAAAGGTGACTTATGATCAGTTTTTACACTTACAACCCATGCGCTTCCCCATGTCTACATAATCAAAATTTTGGCACTTAGTAACATATTTATGACCATTGCACTGTCATGTGACCTCCATCTGTAGTCGTCCTAGCTGGCTTCTGAAAAGCAAGGTCAATGGGGGAGGCTAGATGCACATAATGACAGCATGATTCACTAAAAAATGCAGTGATTCACTTAACCATCATGGCAAACTAGGGCATAAAATGGGGATCTGATTTGGTTGTAAGCCAAGGACTACCTGTATATAGCCACGAGGACTCTTCAAACCAGGGGTCTTCAAACTTGGCCCTTTTATGACTTGTGGGCTTCAACTCCCAGAATTCCTCAGTCAGCGTGCCTGGCTGAGGAATTCCGGGAGTTGAAGTCCACAAGTCAAAAAAGGGCCAAGCTTGAAAACCCCTGATTTCAACCCTCATGTTTATCAGCAGATCAGATGTTTGTGTCTATTTAGACTGAATTCAAACATCACATAGTTATGATTTGGTTTAACTATGCTTTGTCGCCTACTATAGGTAGTCCTCAACTTACAACCGTTCGTTTAGTGACCATTCAAAGCTGCAACGGCGCTGAAAAATGTGACTTATGGCCATTTTTCACAGTCATGACCTTTGCAGCATCCCCATGGTCACATGATCAAAATTCAGATGCTTGGCAACCGGTTCATACTTACGACGGTTGCTGTGTCCCAAAGTCACGCGATCCCCATTTACGGCCTTCTGATAAGCAAAGTCAATAGGAAAGCCAGGTTCACTTAACAACTGGGTTACTAACTTATCAACTGCACTGATTCACTTAACAATGGTGGCAAGAAAAGTCGTAAAATGGGACAAAACTCACTTAACAAATGTCTCACTTAGCAACAGAAATTTTGGACTCACTTGTGGTCATACATTGAGGACTACCTGTAGTCAAAATTGGTTGGTTTAATTGAACAGGCTAAGCCAACAATGAAAGCTTATAAAGCACCACAGCTAGGCTCACACAACATGCTCAGTGACACAGTCTTTTCTAGCTGAGAGCTATGCTTGGTTTTTGAATGATCTGCCAGTCCAAAACAGTAGTTAATAATTCAAGGTCACCTACTAAATTCAACTTTATTTCATTTATATTAAATTTTTTGACTATTTTAAACAACTTGATAAAGGTATCAAAAGCAGTAATTGGTGTTTGAAACATCGTGCCCATGGCTTTGTCAAATCAAGAAGAGTGAGTGACGTGGAAAAACAGCTAGAAAATTCAAGCATTTCAACAAAGATTTGTAATTTGGTAGCAACCTTTCTGAAACAAAGGTGTTTTGTTCATAGTTTCTACTTTCTATTATGTGGAACTGCACACACATGCACTACACAACAACAATAGCTCCGGTTTGTATAGCTCTCTGGAAAATGATTCTGAAATACACAAGGGTTTAATAGAGATTATTCTGGTTCATGAGGTCAGTGTCTCTGCAATTAACTGCACACTTTATATATTTAACTCAGAAATGGTCAATTTGTGGTCCTCCACATGATAATGAAATAAAGTTCCTAGCAGTCCCAATCAGAAAGTTTAATAGTGTGAGAAGCTGAAGTTGAATTTCAGAGATACATATCTGGAAAAATAAAAATATCTGGAAAATCCAAGATAGTAACACCCCTCCCTCCAAAACCAATGGCTGGAGCTATTTTGAGACATATTGTAGATTGAAAGAACATTTTACTATAATTTGGGTGCATTTACACAACTATTTATGTAACCATTGTTTTATGAATGCCCTAAACTAGGATGGAAATAAAACATGAAGGAAATCATCTCTTGGTGGTTTGCTGATGAAATTTAGTTGCAGAATTTCTGATGGTTGTAGGAAGTGCAATCAAGGTGTTGGAAGTTGAATATAGCAGTCAATTCCTTATCCATCTCCAGATTTATAATGATACCAATAAAACTTGTCTCCTACCTGTCCAAGGCAGTGCTGGTAGGCATACTCCTACCAAACCCTCGCACAGCCATCTGACGAAAATATGGAATGCAATGGAGATTTGCTGCAATAATGGCCAGGGAATCTGAAGGGTTAACAAAAAATCCATTTTGACCTAGAATCATGTAACGGTCCTGAAAGAGAAAATAAAATATAATGGGTAAGGAAACGAGAAATGAGTAAGTAAAAGAGAATAGCTGGATTCTCCCTTTTTTCAATTTGCAGTCTAGCAAGAGGGAGACCCAAGGACAGGTTATTATTTGGCTTTAATCTGTTTCATAGTACTCAGATACATGGCTTGATCTAAAGTCACTAACAACAACAACAACAATAAAGTTGGAAGGGACCCTGGAGGTCATCTAGTCCAACCCCCTGCTCAGGCAGGGAACCCTATACCATTTCAGACAAATGGCTGTCCAGTCTCTTCTTAAAAACTTCCAGTATTGGAGCATTCACAGCTTCTGGAGGCAGGTTAATTGTTAATTGTTCTGTCAGGAAATTTCTTCTTAGTTCTAGATTGCTTCTCCTTTTGGTTAGTTTCCATCCGTTGCTTCTTGTCCTGCCCTCAGGCACTTTGGAAAATAGCTTGACTCCCTCTTCTTTGTGGCAACCCCTGAGATATTGGAACACTGCTATCATGCCTCCCCTCGTCCTTCTCTTCATTAAACTAGACATACCCAATTCCAGCAACCATTCTTTATATGTTTTAGCCTCCAGCCCCCTGATTATCTTTGTTGCTCTTCTCTGTACTCTTTCTAGAGTCTCAACATCTTTTTTACATCATGGTAACCAAAACTGGATGCAGTATTCCAGGTGTGGCCTTACCAAGGCATTGTAAAGTGGTATTAACACTTTACGTGATCTTGATTCTATCCCTCTGTTAATGCAGCCTACCACTGTGTTGGCTTTTTTGGCAGCTGCAGCACACTGCTGCATGGAAAACTTGGAGAACATGGAGAACTTTAGTTTGCTTGAATAGATTAGGAAAAAAAATATAATAGTTTTTACTCCAAAATTTCATATAGCTTCTTTTTTTCCTGGAAGCACATTATATCTTGAAGAATAGTAAGTTTTCTCTTACATTAAGCTTGATTAAACAGGAACAGGAAGGAAGGAAGGAAGGAAGGAAGGAAGGAAGGAAGGAAGGAAGGAAGGAAGGAAGGAAGGAAGGAAGGAGTGAGAGAGGGAGGGAGGGAGGGAGAGGAAGTGAGAGGGAGGGAGTAAGGAAGGAAGGAAGGGGGGAGGGAGGGAGGAGGAAGGAAGAAAGGGGATATCTTTTATCAATACTCCTTCATTGGGAACTGCAAAATCAATTTTAAAATTTAATTCTTATTTGTATCTTATAACAAAGTACAATGTTATCAATGGTTTTCTTTAATTGAACTGTGAAGATTTCCAGTAATTATGCTCTATAATACTAGGCAGGAATTGTACTACAACAATCTTTTCAGAAAAGGAAGGATAAATAACTATATGTTAGGATGAGATAAAGAATTGAATTTAACTGGAAACATCAAATGTACTACTAAACTTCCTAAAATGGTCACACAATACTTGGTAGAAAGTTTTTTGTGCCCTAAAACAAAGGAGTTAAAAATGTGCCTCCAAAGTATCTTTTGCACTGATTTCTTCATCTGTTGCTTACTGATTAAATCAGAAAAAAACCCCTTTCATTGTTCTAGAAGGAACTGGAAATTATTTTGGTAATGACTATGAATAATGAAAAATGAAAAAAAAATTAGAAGTGAGGTGCGGCATAGGAAAATCAGATTTCCAATTCTAACTGCCAAAGCACTTCCAATACTATCAAAGAGATGCAAGCATCTGTCTGGAAAATCCATTATATACATTATGAACTTGAAATGTATACTCCAATACATGTTATGAACTTGAAAAATCTATAGTTGATCCTGTGTTAAGCAACTAAATGATATATTTTGGAACGCTAAATATTTTAGCACTGAACATCGCGGAACCACTGAATCGTTCATAATAGTGAGGGAGCGCATAACTGAACTATTAATTTCACCTGCGCTTAGATGAAAGCCTAATATCTATGTAAAAGACAGAAATCCTCTGACAGTCGTTAGTCACTTTCAGCTATGAATTTAGCTTCCCCAAACCTACCCCATCAGCATCAAATGCAGCTCCAAATCCGTACTCTCCTCCTTTCATTGCTTCCAACAAGGAAGTTGCATATGTTAAGTTTGGATCAGGGTACTGGCCACCAAAATCTTCCAGAGGGACACAATCAACCGCAGAATTAGCTGGAGCTCCCAATTCATCACACAGGATTCTCCGGACATAGGGGCCCATCACTGCAAAAGGGATTTGCCTTCAATTTAAAGATCATTTTCAGATAAATATTCAGAATGAACACCTTTGTGTATTTAAAAAATGGAACCAATTTGCATTAAACGGGGTATTATATAACTCTCTATTAAGCAAGACATCCTGCAATTTTCTACAAAAATGCCTGTGTACTTATATGCATATTGGGTCATCTGCAGCTGACCAAACTAACCTCCTTTGAAAAGATGAAGGCTATGAAAGATCTGTTGATTACCAAATAATTTAGGTATTATATACATATATATATACATAGTGCAGACTGCATCAGTAAATTAAAGTGCATCAGCAAATTATAGTAAAACAATAGTAAAACCAAACTATAATAAATAAATCAATGAAAATAGAAGAGTTAAGCACATGGAATAGGCACCTCTTTATTTTATTTTTTTTGTTCTACAGCTACTGCAGAAGGAATACAGTAATTTCACTAAGTGATAAGAACAGGGGTCTTCAAACTTGGCCCTTTTATGACTTGTGGACTTCAACTCCCAGAACTCCTCAGCCAGTGTGCCTGGCTGAGGAATTCTGGGAGTTGAAGTCCACAAGTCATAAAAGGGCCAAGTTTGAAGACTCCTGGGTAAGAGCCATGTTTGGTTTATTTTTAGGGCACTTTGGGGAAGTGAAACAAATGTCCGATGCCTCAGTTATTTATTGCACTTATTTTGTTCTTTATGCTGCTATAGAAGTGATTTACAATCATTCATTTGGTGACTGTTCAAAGTTACACCGCATTAGAAAAAGTGACTTATAACCAGTTTTCACACTTAGGACTGTAGCAGCATCCCCATGATCACATGATCAAAATTTGGGCACGTGGCAACTGGCATGTACTAACTGTCCAGGGGTCATGTGATCACCATTTGTAACTTTCCCAGCTGGATTCTGACGAGCAAAGTCAGTGGGGGAAGCCCAATGATGATATCAAGATTCACTTAGCAACTGCAATGATTTGCTTAATAATTGTGGCAAAAAAGGTTGTAAAATGGCGCAAAAATCACTTAAAAACTCCCTTGCTTAGCAATGGAAATTTTGGACTCAATTGTGGTTATAAATTGAGGGCCACCTGTAGCAAAACTAAATTGGCAGTTTGTCCACTTTTTAAGCCACACAATTTGGTGACCCACTAGGGCCACAAATGGAGGGTGGTGGCCCAGATGCATAACTGCCCACCCCAGTTCGGCTGCATATGTCATTTGTATGATAAAAAGCCTCAGTCAAAGTCAAACATATTAGCATGGTGATTAATTTAAAGGCAGATTGATTCTGGATTAATTTGTACTCTGGAAATTCCCAAGTGAAAATCCAGCTATTTTATAAAAGTAGTGAGAACACAGGGCAGCAATATATACCACCTGGTATATATTAATAAATAACAAACTTCATTTGGAAAAAACCCACGAGAATGCTTGAGAAATAGCTGTATAATATCAGATACAAATCAAATATTCTACTAGTGGACATTTTATAGCAATAGTCACATTGAAAGAGTTTTGTATTTCAGCAGGGGAAAGAATGGCCTCAGGAAATGAAAGGAAACTGATTTTTTTTAAAAAAAGAATGTTGTTCTACTTAAACACCAACATCAAACATAATTAAAGAAAGAGACAGATTTTCTTCCACTTCTGCAAAGAATTTTGTGGCTCTTTGAAAGTATCTCCTTTAGCCAATTGCTGAGGGAAATAGCTGGTATGAGGTAATATATCTAAACTCAATTATAGTATCTGCATTTTTGTGGGAAGAAGAAAAATTGAACAGCATTTTTCTTAAATACAAATGGAAAACAGGCAGTGGTTGAAATGTGATATCACTTTGTGTATAAGAATTTAATAGAAGGATGCATTTCAACAATTTATTTGTGGTATAAACACTCTTGGCATATTTAAATTTTCTCAGGATGATAATAATTAATTATTTTAAAACCTATTATTGAAGGTTTTAATAAACTGAAGAAACCAGTTTGTGGGCAAAAGTGTATACACTTAAAAATATAATAATATATTTTTTAATCTGTCACCTTTGTCTCAGTTACTTTTGCCACATTTGAAAAATTTGGGTTTCTACGAATTCTTCGACATATAATCCATTAAATGCATCTGTCATACCAAGTAACTATATCACTATTAAGAATAAATTGTCTCGGCACAGAAGTAGCACTGTCTATGTGGAGCTACTGAAAATAGTTCATATCTTAAGGGCTTGGGAGCTAGATTTCTATATATATAGTTGATGTCCTTTTGATTCAAAAAGAACAAAGCTATAAATACTTTTCATGAGTTAACTGAAACAAAAAGTGTCCTGAATGTTCAAGAACTGCTTTTTCTCAGAGCCAACTAATATTTTGGTTTTCAGCTGAAGAAAGGGTTTTTTCCCTTCACTCTCATCTCCAAAATTAAGTCAGCAGGAAATCTAAGGCACCTCTTTGACGCTGCCCCACTCTCACCTTAAGAGCATAAGATATGGGAGACATTTTGAATACTATACTTAACAACATAATCATGTGCATTTCTCTGCATCCATTAAGGATCACTCTCTAGCAAATGTATTTGGAATTATAGCCTGTTATAAATCTATAGTAATTAATTACTGTATGAGTTTTAAATCTTATTTTCAGTATTTTAAAAATCAGTGATTTACATACTGCATTAAAAATGGTGCTCTTTACCTCCATTCATGGCATCAATTCTGATCTTAAGTTGGTTGGGCCCGGTTAGCAAGCCTCGAATAGAACTGAAATCAAAGATGGTCCGCAGAAGATTAAGGTAAACCTCCACAGAGTCTATTATCTCAACTGTGCACAAAAGATCAAACAAAGAATGTAAGTCAGGATACTGTGCTTAGGCGTTAAGTACACATCAAATGGAAAAATATTACTACAAAATTTTTTATCACTGAATAAGTGAAAATCTATGCCATAAACACTTTGGGAATTAACCCAGCACCTTTATCAAAGATCACCACTTAATTTGGCAATGCAATGGCCACAGCATTCTTTCTAGGGTTGTTTGAACTATTCAAAGGACAAAGTTGCATAACATTTCAGCAGCAAAATCAGCTTCTGTGCATTCTGTTCGTGCACATTTACATGCATGTTCGGGTAACATAGTAAGGTCCTTGGGAGTGTTTCACTTTCAAGAATACAATGTTTCACTCTTACCTCAGAAAGTTACTTTAAAGGTTTTTTTACTTAAAAGTTTACTTCACAAAATGTCCCACTTAATATTTTTTTTCTCAGTCATAATTTCTATCTGATTCTATCAATTCTGTATATTCTACTATAGTTAGCTTTTGGGGATATTCTAGGAGTAAACAAGAGAATAACTTAAGACATGCTTAATTTATTTATTTATATTTCATGTTTCTTAACCGCCTATCTCCCTCAGACGGTGGTCATAATGTCAGACTGATAAAAGCACAAGCAAAGATAGATTTATAACTTCTAAAACTTACTATATTGCTTCCAGAACTGTTGGCATGCAATAGAATAAAACAAAATATCAACAAGATATCAAAAAGTCTAGAATAAAACAATGTATTTAAAAAAAGCTCTACAAAATGACTACAGTATGTGGCTCAGTAACACAATGACCAGAAAAATCCATAATCAATTTAGCAAAGTAAAATAAAGGCTGCAGAATGAGAAGCTGAAATTTCAACTTGTGCTTTAAATTTATAAGTAAAATGCCCGAAGAAAAATATATAGCATGGGAATATCTAACAAGAACCAGGGAAACATAAAGTTAGATGTTGGTTTGAATTTCACAGCTGGAATAAGATCATTATCAATATGGTACTGCGTTTATAGTATTAAAATTTATGTGAAACTTAAACAGTTGGGTAACAAGAGAAAAGCCACATTTCCATTGTGGATTTCCTATTTCAGTTCTAAAATATTACCATGCCAAAAACTTTTTAAAGGACTAACTTTTAAGTTTTAATTGCAATTTTTCCCCACTATGGAAAAGGATTCAATACCCCGGAAAGGCTTGAATTTATTCTCCAGATCAAACTCTTGTCTTCCCAACCGAGACAAATCAATTCTCAAATCAGGGCAAATGGCATATTCTTCAAGGGTTTTGCTGATCTGATAAATTTTATCAGAAACAACATCTGGAGCTGGACCTGAAAATATAATACAAACATAAGCTGTATCAATTCTTGAATATTGCCTCAAAACAAGGTTTAAATGCTCTTAAATACAAAATAAATATTATTTATATAGTTTAAATTAACATACTATTTTAGCAGTGCATGCGTATTTTATTAGAGGTTTTTATGGTCTCTGAAATCTTCAGATTAAAGCTGATCTGAATGTCTGATGTTGACTCTTCTGAAAAATCAAATTAAACTCCTTGGGTTTAATGTCTCAGCAAATATTAATTAGTAGGAATTTTTTTCAATCTAGTTCAATTATTGGGCCCAGATTGTTGGGGACCATATGCTGACTCTGTAAACCGCATAGAGAAGACTATAAAGCACTGTGAAGCGATAATAAGTAAGTGCTGTTACTATTGCTATTATTGGTGTGTACAAAATTTTGCAGCCAATGGGCATATTAGAATTTTGAGAATCTGCAATATTCTCACAAAATGGCTACCGTGTCCTATGTGGAGAATAGCATATTTAATTTACCATAGGAAAAACTGGTGAGAATATTTCTTGTCATTCTTTTTTTTCATACAGGATTCATTCTACCAGTTATCATCTATTAACTTTTGGAAGAGAAGATGGGTACGTTTCCAAACGGGGCTGCAGTAGTATATCAGATTCCTATTTATTTATAATTAAAAGAATATCTTAGATAAATGAAATCTAATGAGACAGGAAGCTGTGCAGATGTCAACAGAGGTATCTGTGACTACTATATCAGACTACTTATCTCTGATCTCATGCCTGGAACCAAGAGAGATGAAAACATGTATATTCAAAGATTTTAATTCCAAAACACAAATAGTTGGAAAAGTCTACAAGCCTTTTAAACATTGTTTAAATATACTGTATTTAAATCTAAGATGTCTTAAGATGGGTAGCTGGATTGCTGGATCTCTGGATAGACAAATATAGACAGACATTATTTTTAAATTTTTATATGATTATAGATGGTGAATGTAATAGGCAATTTTCTTTTCAGACGTTAGGTTTTTTTCTTAAAAAAATCCCCAGAGTTTGTAATAAGATGCATCACAACAACTCTTACCTCCATTGGCAATGTTAAACTTTACTCCGAATTCTCCTCCAGGTCCTCCAGGACAGTGACTAGCTGTGAGAATAATCCCCCCAGCAGCTTTGACCTTTCTGATAGTGCAGGACACAGCAGGAGTAGATAAAATGCCATTTTGCCCAATAATCAATCTTCCGATCTAAATGCCAGTAAAAAAAACAATGTCAGAGGTGCTTGAAGGTACATGATTCATTTATTGAAGATTATCTCTATTTGTAAAAAGGGAGAGCTTAGTTCCAAACATAATCATACTGGTTGACATCCAAACTGCACAGCCAATATTTTGAGCCATTGATCATGATAAAACAACAAGGATTTTCAACTCTGATTCAGTGGTGGGATTCAGCCAGTTCGCACCACTTCGGCAGAACCAGTAGCTAATTTTTTGTTGCCCAGACCCAGAATGGACTTCCAGGAGTGGATCCACACAGAGAACCGGTTGTTCACATATTTGAATCCCACCACTGCTCTGATTGTACTGATGAATAAAGAACACGTACATGTAAGTTTTATCCATGGATTGCTGCTATACATCTGCATCTATTCTATAGTGTTCACTTGCCTTCTTGCTCCTTTATATCTTAGTCTACAACAGTGTTTCTCAACCTTGACAATTTTAAGGCATGTGGACTTCAACTCCCAGAATTCCACAGCCAGCACTGCTGGCTGTGGAATTCTGGGAGTTGAAGTCCACATGCCTTAAAATTGTCAAGGTTGAGAAACACTGGTCTACAACAAGATTACTCTATGTGCCATCAAATGGTGTCATAAATTAAAGTCAAATAAATAAAATTATAACAATATGAGAAACCTTTCATTATAACCTATATCCATAATGCACATTCATCAGTATGCCACATAGAATACAGAAATGTTAGAACAATTATTTATATCATGTTACAAAATACAGATTGATGACTAAGAATTTGTTTTTATTAAGAAGAATATCTTAATAAAGACAGTCAGTGGTATAGCTTCACTAAAGTTTGGGAAAAACAGAATTGGTCACACATGATAATCAAAGCTGGAGTCTGTAATTTTGTCAATGGAAGTCATTAGAAATCAACTAGTCTTCATCAATATGCAGGAATCTGAAACATGTGGGTACAACTGTAGGCTTAGACCTTTAATAGGCATGAGAAAAGACAGCAACTGTCATTCATGGGAGCCTTTAGCAGGATCAAAGAATGATTGATAGCTAGGACCTGTAGCTTTCCCCAGAGTCATATTTCTGTGTTAAAAATAAAGGCCAAAAATACAGTGCATTTCCGAACACTTTGGCTTGCTGTGTGGTACTTGCCAAAATTAGTGTGAATCAAAAAGTAAACCCCATGCCATTCTTACAGGATGACATAATTTTGGGTATGCAGTTAATAATAATTTGCTCACTGTGTTTAACATAAGAAAGCGGCCATTAATTGAACTATACTTTTTTTTTCTTCCTTTCAATTATGCCCAATTCTCAGAGACTCCTTGGACAAGTCCCTGCAGTTTTCTTGGCAAGGTTTTTCAGAAGTGGTTTGCCATTGCCTCCTTCCTAGAGCTGACAAAGTCGGACTGGCCCATAGTCATCCAGCCAGCTTTTTGCCTAAGGTGGGACTAGAACTCACAGTCTCCCAGTTTTTTTGCCTTATGCCTTATTGAATACATCAAACTGGCTTTCTGTACTTTCATAGCGTTATTCTAATATTATTTGAGTTTAATATAGGAGTAACTTCAGAGGCAAATATCCTATTTGCCATTTGGCACTATAATATAAATTGACAAGAGTAAAGTTAGTAGAAGTACTTCATCACAATTAAAGACCAGCTCAAATGCAGAAGCAAGAATTGTGAGACAGGAAATAAAAAATGCAGTAAAAGACAATAATTATGATATTGAAATTGGTTGAAGTATGGTATATTTAATAAATAGTAAAACAAAATCTTGCTAAAAGAAATAAAATTATAGTGACTAGATAATAACAATTGTAAATAAAATAAATCCAGGTGAATTGGAAGTCTGCTTAAATGTGGTATCATTAGCTTCAGCTAGGCATCTTTACCATGAGAGCAATAATAAATATAATAAAATGTGGTTTAATAGGTCAAAGTCTCTTTCATCACAGAGGCAACGTTTTTGTTCAGATATCCCAGGATAGCCCAAATTTTCCCCTCAAAAACAGCTGTTGGGAGAACATTACATAACTCTTCTCAGGTCAGAGCTCTTCTGAAATTAGGAACCATATTTGACTTAAGTATTTAGTTGGCTTGAAAAATGAAAACATCTTCGATAGCCAGTTCCTTGGCACGCTATTTAAAGGCAGCCACTGCATGTTCACATACCTCAGGATTGCTTTAAGGAAGAAACCACAGCACTTCAGTTTCGTGTGCGCTGTCGTAGATGAAACCAAGTCATCACTTAAAATCAGACATGAAAATCAGAGGCATCAATCCCCTGATGTAAAATGTGAAAAAAAAAATAATTTTTTAAAAAGTAATTTTAACCAGTAAAAAAGATGCATGACCAAATGTTAGTTTTAATTTTGGCCACATCAGCCTCATGGTTTAAGTCCATGTTGGGAATACAAAGCCATGTCAAACACGGGGTCCGAGGACCGGATGCGCCCCACACAGGCCACACCCATTACAGCTCTGCAAGGGCAACCAAGTCCCGATATGTCCCACGATGCGATTGGGTTTGACACCCCTGCATAGGATCTGAAATATATTCTTTAAAAATCTCTAAAGGAAGTGAAGGACCTATATGGTCTCAACTGGGCTCTGAACAAAAGTGTTGCACTCTAGCTGAAAATAAGTATGAATAATGCACTGCTGGAGTAATACAAGGACTGCAGAACTGTTGCTGACTTCTGTTGCTAGAGACAATGTACTCTAAGTGTGCCATGCACGAAACACTATTCCTATATATGTAAAGAACTAAACTTCTTAAATTGGATAAGCATATATTTTAGGGCGCTTATATTATATTCTGTATATACACCAACATATTCTTTTCTATTGTACCAATATTTTAGGTTTTGCATAATTAATGTTGAGTGCTTCTATCTTGCAATATGCAGCTAAACTATATAAAGTTTGCTTAGACCAATTGGTATCTAAGATAACAGCATCTACCTAACTGTTAAACTAGAATTGTCACAAAGTTTTATATCAGAAGAAGCAGGCATCTATTAATCTTAAGTTTGCACTATGTGTAGCAATAAGTAGAAAAGTGATTCTGAAATAGTTAAAAGTTGCATATTGTGCGGATCCTAACTTAAAAGTATATTTTCATCTATTGTAGATGTTGCAAAATAAGAACATGATCTAATACTGAATGTCCAGTTGTAAAGCATGCTTGTTCTTCAACTGAAACATTTTCTGATCCATTCCTAGCATTTATTGTAGAACTGCCTAGCTGTCTGAAAAATAAGAAACTTGAATTTAAATGATTTATTTTTTGAAAGAGGAAAGCATGTTATTGGGATATTATTGAAGAATAGAGCATATATGCATATTAAAGAGTCAACCATGGTTTTTCTTTTTTAGTTACTAAAATCCAAGTAATCTACTATGTTGAATATCAAACCAGCTAAGAAATTCTACTTACAGCTCTCTCTGATTTTTAAAACCAACTCTGGGATTCCTTTTACCCCTAACTGGTATGTAATCAAGCCTTCAGAGATAATAATTTTGTCATGATACCAGTCTTCGTATGGTGTGCGAAACAACAGCATCACCATATATGGATTCAAGAATGTGGCCCAATGCCCTTAACATAGTGAGAACTTAGCAGATTTTGATGAGTGACGTGACCCTGAGGTTTCCTCCCAGTGCTACAGCTAAAAAAAAAAAAGAGTGATCTGCATTCCCTTTGCACATCCAAACATGTATGTGGATGGGGTGCCTATAATTAATTTTAAATTGGTGCTTGTTGCGCACAAACTGAGAATTCTTTGCTTGTCGGAGGGAGATGGGTGATGCTCATCTCTGTGCCTATGTGATATTTTATCCACCAAAAAATGTAGAAGAGAGCCTCTCATCAACTAGAAATTCAAAAGAGGTTTATGAGAGATACTGTGGTGCATTTCCTTGATGTAGCATAAGCCACAGACAAAGCACTGAATCATGATCACCTAAAATTCATCAACACATCCAGCTTATAAAAACCTTCATTTAGTCATTAAACTCACTGAGTGATTTTGCATGTCTTAATCTATACTTTACCTCAGAGGTCCCCAACCTTTTGGGCACCAGGGACCGGTTCTGTGGAGAGAGGTTTTTCTACAGATTGGACAGTGTGTGATATTGTGTGCTGCCTGCATCCTACGGATGAGGCTTTGCTTGTTTGTGTGGACTGGTTGCTGGCATGCCGTAGCCCGGTACCGGCCCACGGACCAGGGGTTGGGGACCCTTGCTTTACCTCACAAAGTTGTTAGGTGAAATATAATATTTTCCCAAGAATTTCACAATTCTTGGGAAAATATTATATAAAAAAATCATACAAAAAATATTAGGGAAAGTAAGGTCATCACCAATGGCAGAAAGTCCAAATGCAGAAGGGCAATTTCTTCCTTCCTCCCTTGCTTTCTTTTTTTTTTAATTATCTGAATGCAACTTATATAGATTATTTTTTAAGCTCACTCAGAAAAAAGGACCCATCAAACATTCTTAATACACTAGATAAGAACAGATTTTCAAGTGATTACCAATAAGAAACATAAAGATAAAAGATAGAAAAATAAATATGTAAATATGTAAAACATTTATATTTAATTGATAATAAATTTATCACTTATTGAGCCTGATGCCTCCCACATGTGTTGAAGCACAATTTCAAATGCAAGAAGGGCTGGCTGAGGATAAGAATAATATGTACATATGTATATATGTACAGATTCCTTTGACTTACCACCATTTGTTTAGCAACTGTTCAAAGTTACAATGGCATTGGAAAAAGTGACTTATGACCAGTTCTTGCACTTACGACCATCCTAGCATCCCCATGTTCATGTGATCAAAATCTGGGTACTTGATAACCAGCATGTATTTACGACTGCTGCATCATCATGAGGTCATGCAATCCACCATTTGTGACCTTCCCAGTTGGTTTCTGACAAGCAGTCAGTGGAAAAAGCGGGATTCACTTAATGACCGT